CTTTGAACATGGAATTAACACAGGCTTGAACCCACAAAGGGATTTGGGAAACGAAATGATGATTTCAAAGCTTTTTTCTGCTCCCTTCACCCCAATCCCAAAGATCTAATAACACCTGATAGGCTGTGAAACTGGGGTGCAATCCAGAATCTCTGCCATCCTTCTGGCCTCTTTTTCCCCTGTTATGAAAACTACCCCTCATCCTGCAGGAGCTCAGGATGGGTTTTAAATCAGAGCTTTTGCACTTGCACTCATCTGATGGATGCAACTTGACTGGTCAATTATGTAAGTGCAAAGAGCCTATTTTCATACATTTATTAAAACCTTCCTGCTTTTGTTTCCATAAGCCTGCCTCAAACCCAGCACAATATCGCCATTAAGCCGAATTTCCATGAGCTAACCCCAGATTTGAGGGTGGCTTTGGGGGACTTGTCAGGAAGGATCAACTCAGAAGGTCCCGAGTTGAGCAGAAGTTTGCCCACTGCTGATGGATGGCCACAAACAGCACTGGAGGTAATTCTGAGAGCACAGCACGGATCTGACAGGTACTGCTATGACAACCAGGCAGCAGAACTGCCCACATTTCCCTGGAAGCTCCAAAAATAAACATTCCAGGACATGTTTATCCTGAGCGGCTCCCCTGTCCTTTGTTCTCTTCTTTGCAAGGCTTTTTTTTGGGCTTTTCACAGAGAAAATTCATTGAGATTCTGGGCTGGTGGGTTGGGTTTAGGTGGGGTTGAGGACATTTTCTTCATGGAAGGTGTAGAGTGGTGGATTGGATTTCTGCTGGGAACAGGGAGCAGAATACAGGAATATTTCTGTTGCTGCTGAGCAGAGTTTGGGGCTATGACAATTCCCTGAGGAGCTTTTCCAGTGCCCAAGCATCCTTTGGGAAGAAACTTCTGACATCCAGCCTAACCCTCCCTGACCCTCCAGATTCCCTCCCCAGCCCAGCTCTATTTCCTCTGGAAAAAAAAAAAACAACAGAGACAAGAAACCTAATTTTCACTGAGAGCATCTCATCCCTTCCTCTCTGACTTCAAAAGGCAAAACAAACAGGTATTTTATGTAAATGTGGACATTAGAAACAAAAAATAGAACAGCAAACATCAGATTCCTTTTTCATAGGCAACTCAGCTTCCACTGGCACAGCTGCAGATGAAAGTAGCAGTTACAAATTAATATATCATAAGGTCTTACCAAAGGAACTGAATTGTCTCAAATGCCAAAAGTAAGACCAAAGACTAAATTATTTTCATTTACGGAACCGTAGGGAGGAATTGCTTTCATGTTCTGAGTTATGTGTTTAGGAGGAACCTAAGTTTAGCTTGTCAGCTTCTGACAAAAGTTAAAAACAATTTCTAAAACATTTCGGAATCATTTTGAAACACGGTTTCGAAGGGGGAAATGGAAACAAGACAAAATCACAAAACCCCTGCCTTTTCCTGTAACTGCTTTTACAGCTCCAACTCCTCGTGTGTGCTTTCCTGGAATGAAGAATCTGCCTCCAAAGCACTTCCCAGCCCTGTCCAGAAACACAGGAAAACTCCCTGATTGCTTAAAACTGTTAAATACAGATATTATGGCTTGAATTTCCTGAAAATGAGGGCACGGACAAGCCCTAAAACAGCTGGAATTTTAAGGTGGACAAGTACCCTAAAAGGAATTATAAATCATTTCCAGCTCCTCCTTACAAGGAGCAGTTTCAAATGTGTATTTAATGGTCCCTTATCCATCTCTCTTATCCCTCAGTGGTTTTTTTCCATCTCCTTTCCTTGGATATTGTTGTTTACAGTAAACCAGGGACTGATCTGGACCAAATTTAGAAGTGAAAGGAAAAGCCACTGCATCAGTTTGAATATTATCTTCTTTTACCCCCAGAATGAATTTTTTTATCCCCAAAATGCTGATCAGCCACCTGCAAACCAATACTCCCTTGAACACACTGGTGGCAATTCCACCAAATGGTAACACCAAAACCTTGGGCTCTGAATCAACAAACTGCTTAGCAAAAATGAGAATTTTACTACATTAGACAAGTCATTAGATTAAGTGTTTTAGAAAAAAAGGAAGAATTCTCTTGTTAGATATGAAGATTTCTTGTGTTCATTTTGGCATGTAAGGTGGGAAAGGTGGCTCCCAGAGGTGTTGGAACAAAGGCATGGGATGTGATCCTGAATTTGGGATGTGATTCTGAATTTGGGATGTGATCCTGAATTTGGGATGTGATTCTGAATTTGGGATGTGATCCTGAATTTGGGATGTGATCCTGAATTTGGGATGTGATTCTGAGCCTGGCACAGCAGTACTGGGAGGTAGGAAAGAGAGAGGATCCTGATGTTTTCATGCCCAAAAACAGGCAAGCAAAGTTTTCAGAGTAATTTCTGTCACTATTGAGTGTGCAGAATTTTTTTATATATATAATATATATATATATAAATATATATTTCTAGATATTTCTTCCACTGGTGAAAGTCAAAAAATACAATACTAAATTTGAACTTAAGTTACATTTGCAAATATTTCCTGTAATCCAGTCATTCACATGCATTTCTCCATTTTCTCTCTTCCCCCATGGCTACAAATTTTATCTCATCCAGAATATTTGAAGCCACTGCTTAATGCAGAGCATTTTAATCTGGAAGAAAAGCACTGCATAGAGAGGAGCTTTTGGAGAAACATCCTAAAGAACTGGTCTAAAAGAGGAATTAGAGCTTGATTTTCCAGCTATTTTTATTCTTTTTCCCATTGCTTCACACTACCAGATTCATTCCATGCAAGAAAAAAATTAAATATTTGATACATTTAAAATTTAGTTCCCTTGATTTGGCTCATGACACAGAAACTGCTCAAGGAGGTGCTTTCAGAAATTACACAAAATTGCACATTTGGAGTTATTTCTATGGAGGGGATGCCACAGCTTTAAAAGACAAAATGTGTTCTTAAATTTCATCTGGTTTTCTCCAATAAAACTTTATAAGGGTGGAAATAAATGCAGCAGATGGACAAAACAAGGTATTTTACAGTGCAGCTTTCTGGGTTTGGAAACCATGTTAACTCCAACAGGAAAAATGAAAAGCATGGAAATCAATTGAGACTTTCCAAAGGAGCTGGTGCAATGGGAATGAAAGAATGAGGGAACTGGGGATGAACAACCTCCCTTAGGACAGCTGAGGATACTCTTCAACACCAAAAAGACTGGGAAATGTTTTTAACTTTAAATACTACTCAGATACTCTACAGGCACTGAGGCAAGTCAGGAAGAATCAAAGATCATCAACACAACCCATTTCTGCTTCCTCAGGACTTCATGTTCAGCATGGGATAAAGACAAGACTATTTTTAAGGATAAAAATTCCAAGTCTCTGTCCTAACTGTGAACCATCGTGCTTTGTATTGTTCCAAATTTTCCATGAGGAACTGCCTGGGGGAAGGATCCCTTTGTGCTTTAAGGAAAAAAAAACACGGGCAGGGAAAGGTTCTTTTTGTACCTTTCCTCTTTCATTTGTTTGGCCAGAATTTCACAGTGCCAATAAAACCCAAGGTGAAATCCCTACCCGAGTGAACACTGAGAGGTCACCTGGCAGTGATGTGAAGAGAACACAATTCCAGCCTGGTTTGGGCTAGAATTGTTGGAGAAACCTTAAATCCCACCCAGTGCCACCCCTGCCATGGCAGGGACACCTCCCACTGTCCCAGGTGCTCCAGCCCCAATGTCCAACCTAGCCTTGGGCACTCAAAATTAATAAAGAAAGCAATCAATCCAAAGAGTTTCAGATGTTCCTCACCAGCAATCAAAGGGCCCCTTATTTCAAACATCAGGTGCTTCTCAAGCATTCCAAACCAGCAGGAAGAACCCAAAGATGGCTCAATCTCCTGACTCCTATTTATTCAGAACAGATTTTATTAGGGAGCTAAGGAGACTTCAGAAGCCAAGATTAAAGTTATGGTGCATTTTTATAAGGAGAGCAGGAGCTGTGGGTCAGGATTTTATATGGAAACGCTGACAACTTTACAGCCATGGTAGCTTCCAGTAAATGCAGAAGAGATTTCTCCAGGCAACTGGTAAATATAATGTTTTTCCCTTATACTTTCATCTCAGTACATATAAAAGCATTTGACACACTTAATAAAATGTCACCAGCATAAAATACTGCACAAAGGAATGCTAAATAATGACAGAACTGCAATTATTGGGGAAAAAATGAGCATTAGGAACATTTTCAGCCTCTCTCTACATTACTGGGGTGATGGATTTTGGATTTAAAAGCTTCCTTAATTCTTCTTGTCACACCAATGAAAACATTCCTGGACATACAAGTCCACACAACACCACCTAATCTGAGGTCATACGCAAAACATGCAATTCACCCTCCAAAGAATAAACTGAATTACTTTAAGATATGGATAGAATTTTACTGCACCTGCATTAGCTCCAAAATCCAGGTTCTCACACTGATGCCACCCAGGCCACGACAACGCTCCTCCAGAGGCAATTTTGCAAAGAATGGGAGAAGGAGGAGAAGGCAGGGCAGGCTGGCTGCAGCTGCTGCTTCCACGCAACCCCGGAGCTGCAACTGAGCTGCACCGGAGCTGCAACAGAGCTGCATGAGAGCTGTGCTGGAACTCTGCTGGAGCTGTGCCGGAGCTGTGCTAGAGCTGTGACAGAGCTGTGCCAGAACTGCACTGGAGCTGTGATAGAGCTGTGACAGAGCTGTGACAGAGCTGCACTGGAGCTGTGACAGAGCTGTGCCGGAGCTGTGACAGAGCTGTGACAGAGCTGCACTGGAGCTGTGCCGGAGCTGTGACAGAGCTGCACTGGAGCTGTGACAGAGCTGCACTGGAGCTGTGACAGAGCTGCACTGGAGCTGTGCCGGAGCTGTGACAGAGCTGCACTGGAGCTGTGACAGAGCTGCACTGGAGCTGTGACAGAGCTGTGCCGGAGCAGTGCCGGAGCCGCCGGCTCGGGAGAGCTCCGGAGCTTTTCCCTCTGTACTCACTTGTTCTGCATCATGTTCATGATCACCCAGTCGAAGGGGTAGACGTTCTTCCCTATCAGGTTCTTGAACATGATGAATGTCTCCATCAGGAAATCCTGCAAGAAGAGATAAAATTTGGAGACAATCGGACCAAGCAACGCCAAGGGATGGTGGCAGTTATTGATGACTGCACTCCAAAGGGGTCTTTGTGTTCTGCTTCCTCCAAAAGCTGTTTTTCATTAAAAACACACCAAAATCCTACTCAAGCACATTTATACATGATGCCCATAAATCCTACAATAACTCAGTTTCAGAAATTATAACAACAGAAATCCCACATTTAAGCAACCAATGGGATTCCTCAAGGCCAAGCATTGGTTCGCCAGTTATCCAGAAGGAGTTTCTGCTGGAAAAACCATCTTTTTTTCCATACTATGGACAAAACCTCCCAGTTCCTCCGTGTATTGTGATACAGATCTCACGACACACTCTTGGCAAATTGATAAAAGCACATTGGTTCATGGAAAGAGGAAAAAAACAAACATAAATATTTATTTAACTCAGGATTGCACTAAAAATAGTCCTGGGAGTCAGGTGATGAATAATCCCTCCCTTCATGGATATTCTCCAGAAATACAGATTATTTATGTATTAAAATAAAAACATGTTCCAGCTCAAAGCATCACCTCCACCTGGGGCAGAGGACAAAAATGATTTGGACATCCCAAAATTGGGAGGGACCCTCCCTAAAGGGAGCAGCAGGAATTGCTTCTGCAAGTGAAAAACTGCCCAAGAACAGTTAATTTAACAGCATAAACCAATTTATTTCTACACAGCTATAAACACACAGTTCTTTGGACCAGAAACTTTGTGTACTTTACAATGTAAATCATCTCCTACAACTTAGGAATCTGTAATTGCTATCTAACAATTTCAGTAATATCAAATGCTGTAAGAAAGATAAAGGGGAAAAGAGAACTTCATGCAGAAAGTCCTTGATCCACTTCACACAGAGATAAAAATGAACTTTTATTCCAAGGTTAGAATATCTTCCCTTTGATACAGTTTCCCAGCAATGGTATTTATCTGGTCTATCTTTAAAATGTCAAATGCCTACCAAAAAAAAATCCCAATATGTTCCATCGACTGGACTTTTAACTAAGACTGGTTTCTGTGTAACCTTTTCAGTGAGAAACCAATCTGAAGTCCCTGCTCTCATCAGTCTTTTTTCAGCTCTGAGAGCCAGGATCTTCAGCAGATTTATCTTTTAATCCACTGCTCTGTTCAAATGTTTTCCTGGCTCACAAATTTCCTGTCAGTGGATGCAGGGAGCTGCAGAGATCCTGAGGCTTGGAGATCAAGAACCCCAGAGTCCCTGATGGTTTGGGTGGGAACACCTTAAAGCAAACATCTCATTCCTGACCTTCCACTGTCCCAGGCTGCTCCAAGCCCCAACCTGGCCTTGGGCACTGCCAGGGATCCAGGGACAGCCACAGCTGCTCTGGGAGTTCCATCCCAGCCCCTCCCCACCCTCCCAGGGAACAATTCCTTCCCAAGATCCCATCCATCCCTGTCTATTGTTAGTTTAAAGCCATTCCCTGTGTCCTGTCCCTCCATGCCTTGTCCCCAGTCCCTCTCCAGCTCTCCTGAGCCCCTTCAGTCCCTGGAAGGGCTCTGAGCTCTCCCTGGATGCTTCTCCTTTCCAGGCTGATCCTTCCTGATGCCCATCTTTCTGCTGGAGGTTCTCAGTTCCCAAATATTGCTGCAAAAAAAATCACTTAGTGCAAACATTCCCCCCCTGGATTCAGGGAAAAAGAACTCGGATGAGTTTGTGCGACTGAAACCAACCGAGGTAATCCAGCTGATTTTGACCAGCTGACAGCTGCTCTGGGCACCCTGTGCCAGGGCCTGCCCACCCTCCCAGCCAGGAGTTCCTGCCCAATCTCCCATCCATCCCTGCCCTCTGGCAGTGGGAGCCATTCCCTGGGTCCTGTTCCTTCAAGCCCTGGTAAATGTTTCTTATTTCACAAAGCAAAGTGAAATTTTCCCTCTCTGGAGTCATCCCAGACCCACCTGGACCCTACCCTGGCAGGGGGTTGGACTGGGTGATTTCCAGAGGTCCCTTCCCCATTCTGGGATTTTGGGAACTTCCAAAAACTGGGCTCCACAATGTACAGAAACTCCAGGTGTAAGAGCTCCTCTGTCATTTTACCACACAACATCAGCAAGGATCACAGAATCCCAGAGCTCTAAAGTGGGAAAAGCCCCCCAGGACCACCAAATCCAACCTCTGAGCGAGCCCCACCGTGCCCAGCAAACAGATCCTGCTGCTTTGGCATGGATGGACAGCAAGTCTGGAGCTGCTCCTGCTTCAGCTGCCACCACTGCCACCACTCATCCCAGAGCCTCTCCTCCAGCTCAGGGAAATCTGACTTCACTTAAGAGCTCAAACTGCACATTTCCTGCTTGTTTTTCCTGGGTTTTGGTGAAAGAAATCCACTGATGATGATTTGGTTCCTTCCTGAGCCTGGGTAAATGTTTCTTATTTCACAAAGCAAAGTGAAATTTTCCTTCTCTGGAGTCATCCCGGACCCACCTGGACCCCGCCCTGGCAGGGGGTTGGACTGGGTGATTTCCAGAGGTCCCTTCCCCATTCTGGGATTTTGGGAAAAATCTGGAGCCCCTCCTCCAGCTCAGGAAAATCTGCCTTCACTTAAGAGCTCAAACTGCACATTTCCTGCTCGTTTTTTCCTGGGTTTTGGTGAAAGAATTCCACTGATGATGATTTGATTATTTGCTGAGCCTGGGGGTTCTGACCTACTTTGCTGATTCAGCTCTGCATTTCCATCCCCTGATATTTACATTTTAATAACCCCACGCTCACACTTTAAATAATGCTTTGTAACAACTGAGCTAATTATTGATCAAATAAAAGGCTCCCCACGCTCACCTGGGGTTTATGTATTCATAATATTGCTCTTTTTTCCATTTTATGGTTCTCATAGAAAAACAAATGGTTTGGATGAATTAACCTCATTTTATGTGGAAAACTCAGAGTTTTTGAGGGGTTGGGAAGAGAATGAAGCACCAGGACAAGAAAAAGCTGCTTATTTTCAGAATAACTGGAAGCAGGACAAATATTTCTGAACATAAAAACCTGTACTAAAGGAGGAAGGGTTACAACTCCTGCTCTCTCTCCAGCTACAAATACAAATCCTATTTAATAGGAAACAGAACTCACAGCAGGTAAGACCCCTAAAAAATTCCCATCCACTGATGGAAAGGAAACAGCCTGAGCTCAGTCTGAGATTCTCCACATGGCAGAACATTAACAGGCATTTTTTGTCAACTAAACCACATGTATCTCAATTTTTTTACCAAGTAAAAAGAGGGGGGAAAAATAAATTAGTCCCAGAAATAACCTCCCTGATCTCAGATAATATTTCATCTCAGGGTGATGGCAGAATCACAGATTTTGATTTTATAGAATCACAGCTAAGTCTGGGCTGGAAGGGATCTTAAAGCAGGAAACTCCTTTTTGAACTGACATTCCTTAATAAATCTAAGCTCTCTATTCCACAGAGAGGTAAAAGACTGGTTTTATTGCACTCCACCTCATCTTTTTGAGGACTTTTGAGGCCAAATATGACCATTATAATAACCTAAACCTGCCACCTACATAACACAGACCATAAAGTTTCCTCCAGCACTTCCAGCCCTGAGCTTCCAACTCCTGCTTGAGCAAGAGCAGAGGCTGAAGGAAGATTTAAGGGTCTCCAGTGGTGAAAAAGAAACCACAGCTTAAGTTTTCCTCTTTTCTTGCCTTTTTTTTTTTTAGGAAAAAGCTTTTTATTTCTGCCTGGCTGAATTTAGTCTCAGTTCTAAATCACTTCTTTGTGATTAAATGGAATATTCTGCAATAAGGAGGTGCAGTTGTCACCTCCAGCTCTGGGTTTAAAAGCAAAGACTCCTGGATTTCAGTTCTACTGGCTGAGTCAAATGAGAATGGCAGAAAAAAATTGCTGGGTTAAAGAAGTGGAAAACCATGGAAAAACAAAAAGAAAGGAAATTTAGTTTACTCCTTGTAGCTTCCTTTACTCACAGGATTAACAATGCTCTGCCAATAAACCTCCAAATTTTAATGAATATTATTTAAAATCAGCTCTGAGGTTTAGAGATGCCAGAGCAGGTGCAAAAAGAGGCTTCAACACCTGAAAACTGGAACAGAGCAAAGAGCTCAAACCTTGCCCAGTGCAGGCAGAAAGAAGAATAACACAAGTTCAACACAAACTGGGAAGCCCAAACATTAAAATTACACAAAGGAAAGACCCTGACTTTCTTTGCTCTTCTATTTGCTATAAAAATTCTTTTCAGCCCATTATCTGCACTTAGTTTGGGAATGTTTTGCTCTTGGTGCCCATCCATGTCAATGCTCCAAGATCCCAAAGGAGGCCCAGCCTTTTCCATGCACTGATCCTATTTCCAGCAATCTGCAGCTGGACTTTGCCTTCCCCCTCTCACAACAGCAGCTCTGAGCTTTGGAGATGCCAGAGCAGGAAACTGGAACAGAGCAAAGAGCTCAAACCTTGCCCAACACAGGCAGAAAGAAGATAACACAAATCCAGCACAAACTGGGAAGGCCAAACATGAAAACTACACAAAGGAAAGGTCCTGGCACTGTTCTGGTGGGGCTGGAGGAAGAGGAGAAGCTGAAGGAGGACCCAAAGCCAGGTGGGAGCTCCTGGAGCACCTCAGGGTGGCAGTGGGGATGGGTGATCACTGATTGCTGGAGCTCAGGCAGGAGCTGGGTGTCCCCTCCCAGCCCAGCCTGGCCATATGGCAGTGGCACTTTCAGGTTATTACAGAGTTATCTCCTCGGCTATAAACTCCCCTCTATTATCCTTTAATTAACTTGGGTTGTTGCCTTAGCCAGGCTACCCAATGACTCTGAGAAGACAAATTTCAATTATTATTGCTTATTTAACAACTAAGGGCATCTCTAAGGTTAAAGTGTTTTGCATAAAGGGGAAAAGGGAAAGTGAGCAGATGTCTAAGTAAAAGCAACTTCAAGAAATGAAATCAGAACATCTGGAAGATTTAACACTGAAAGTTCCTTTCCTAAGAAAGCCTTTTTTATATTCTTTTTCTTCTTTGCTTACCAGATTTTACTAATGTCTCATCACTACTGTTTTTACTGCTTTCTTTTAACTGCCTTCAATCCACTCATGTCTCATGTTTTAAAACACTGAACAGCTCCAGCTGTACTCCCGTACATGTCACAGTGCCTAAATAATTATTTTATATTAAATCTGTAATGCCAAACACATTCTGTTCACATCTCACATGTGCATTTAATGACCAGTAACAGGAAAAAAAACCAAAAACAATCTGAGCCATCTTATGAAGAGATAAAACAATTGAAACTCACCACAACATCCGACCTCATCTTGCCAAAAGTCTTGATTAAATGGGCATAGTGATAATCCTCCATTTGCCTCAGGATGGCTGTCATGCAGGCCACGAAACTCCCCTGGCAAAAAGCAAAGGAAAGGAATCCATTATTTAGGATAATGCAACATAATACTGGCTATCAAAACATAAAATTGCTATAGAAAACCACAGAAAGCAGTGGAGATAATTTGATCATTAAAATTCATTAATGGATATGTAAAAATCAAGGAAATTTTGTCAAGGAAACAAACGAAAAGAAACCATCTCGAAAAGTTTCCAGTTTCCAATTTCAGGAGTTTATCACCGAAGATTTTGCGACACATTCTTCATCTAAAAATTGCTCACACATTAAAATGTCTGCAAGGTAATAAACAGCACTCCTGAAAATATTACACAATATCACCATTTGCATTTGGAAAGTCAATACTCTGCTCAAGGAAGAAATCTTTTCAAAATTATCACACTGAGCTAAACCAGCCCCAAGTTTTCATTTATTTTCAGATACAGCGATGCTTAATAAAATACTACTAAAATCCAGTGAATTCCATCAAACCAGAACAGCAGCACCATCCAGATCTCTCTCAAAACACAGAAAGAGTAAAAAGTGACCAAAAGAAAGTTTAGTTTTTCCTTCTGGTGGGTGACAGTGTTGTAGTAACAATCCAACCCATTTCCAGGGCTCCTAAATGCAGTAAAATCCCACAAATGGGAGATTCTTGTCCATCCTCCCTCTCTGCCTATCTGCTAAAAGCCTGGTAATGAAGTCCACATCTTTTCTGGTCCTTAATGCAGGAGGAAAAACATTAAAAATTGGTAAAAGCCCCAGCAGAATAACTTATAAAAGAAATTATTCTTTTTTTTTGTTTTATAGAATTGCAAATCCCCCTTTCTGTGCTGTTTTTAGGTTATTCCATACCATAGCCCAGGAAAACACTCAGTAATTTTCTCTTTATAAAGACACAGAGCCTTTATTGTTACCTTTAAATTCAGCATTAATTTCAATTTAAAATCTTTATTCCCACATCAATCCAATTAATTGAGATAAGGCCCAGAATGACACTGGATCACCTGCATGTGCTCTGAGCCCTATTATTTACAGAATTTACAGGTTAACCTTAAATTCCACCTGATCAGCACTCCTGGAATTCGCTTTTCTCCTTCAGTGGAGCTGAGACCTAAAGTCCTACAGGACTGATTCTGTCCATGTAGGAATATTGGATTTTTCAGAGGATGCCAAGGTACCTGATGGGAGCTGTGTGGCACCTGCAAACCCCATGAATATGGAAGGAAAGTCCACCTGAGCTGCTGCTCTGGGACATCAAAAGAACATTCTAACAGGAACAGAATCTGGGACTCTACAAAGACAATGTTTCCTACTATGAAATGGAAATAAGATGAGACCATCTCAAAATCCAAACATTAACTGTCAAATCTATGCCTAATGAGCTCCTGGCACAGCAAACACTGGGATTGATGCCTCAGGTTTTAGCTTTTATATTTTTCAGACCCTGTGGGTCTGAGTTTCATAGTAAGTATTGGTAAGCTCTCCTCACAGAGCAGGGACACAAAACAATTCCTGCTCCAGCTGGGCACCAAGGACAAATGATCCAAACCTCAGCCCAGGAGCACAAACACCGTGGGCTGGAGAGAGAAAAACCAGCAGGGTGGGACTGATGGGCTGGAGCTGGAATGGGACAATGAACTCCAAGGTGCCAATGGAGCAGAACTGATCCCAGGGAGAGCCCCGGGAGCGCTCGTGCATTTTGGGACCATTTTGGGTCATTTGGGTGCAGCCCTGGCTGGGCTCTGCTGCTGCCCAAGGTGGATCCATGAGGAGATCCTGGAATAAATCCCTGCTTTATTTTCTAGCTCTGACCAATCTTTGCTCTAGGGCAGCCTTCACAAAAAGGCTCATGCCTACAAGGAAACATTCCAGAGCCCCCATTCCCTCCCACCTCCTCTAAGGATCCATCCATCTCAGTGCTGTGCCAGCACCAGGCAGAATCAGACATTTTTTAACTTGGCCGCCTCACATTAGGCTGCACATGAAGCTCTGTTCTGTGGATGGCTCAGGACTGCCCAGGAGAGCTGGAACAAACTTTCTCTTGCCCATGATATCTTTTCACAGACACTTAAATATCCTCCAAGTCCACTGCTTGGCAAAGACAGCAATCTAGTTTTAGTTTTATTCACATCAAGCTTACAATGGCAAATTCAGCCCTTTCCAGGTGACCAAGAGCTCTGCTTCCTTCCAACAAACTCAGTTCTCGACCTGGCTGATAATTTAGATAATATTTTTGTTTATTTACCTGTTTGGGGAGTAATTTAAGCTAATACACCTGGTGCTGAGTAGACTGAGGCATGGTCTTTAAGCAGCTATCAACACTGCTTCCTGTTTCCCTGCATAAAATAATGATTCATGCTCATCTTGGTGTTTATCTCAGTAATAAAAAACCCTCCTTTGATACAGAATTGTTCCTTGAAACCAAAAATCCAACAAAAAAAAAAAACCCCGCCCCAAAAACGCCCCGCAAAACCCCAACCGCAAACCACTGTTCAAGGCCCTGCTAGGAAGGAAAATCTATTTAATATTAGGAGGAAAGTACAACTATCAGTCATCATTTTCTTTGTGAGGTATCACTTGCAGCCAGCACGCTCTTAATTACAACACTAATAAGGGTTTGTAATTATTTAGAGGTAATATTTATACTCTAGATGTTTTTAATATGCTCTAACTAGTTAGCAATAGCTAACAACATGATTAGATTTTAATCTTGAGTTGATTTTTAATCTTTAGTTGTATTTGAGATCATTGTCATCATCTACAGTCCAGCACTGGAAGCAATATATATAAAAAAGGTACCTAATTCTCTAAAAAATCAATTTCAATTTGAGCCATAGGAATAATTGCAAAGCTGTGTTTACCCAGCCAGTCCTGCAAGGGGTTCCCATTGTACTGGGCATTTCTCAGCTATTTATTCACTTAAATAGTGGCAGGCTTTGCCCTGGAACTCTTTCCCTATTGCAAAGCTCAGAAATGAGCTGGTCACACAGAGGGAAAGTTAATTACAGAATATCCACTAGAGAAACATTTTGCCAGTAGTTTCCTGCAATTTCTGCCTCTCCTGGATTGTTTCTTCCCAATCCAGGGGACACTGAGGGCCACCCTGGGCCAGCAGGGTTGAGAAGTGCCTGGTAGGAAAGGCCCTGGGGGTGCTGAGGGGTTGGAATGAGCCCAGCTGTGCCCAGGTGTGCCCAGGTGTGCCAGAGGCCACTGGCACCTGGATTGGAGCAGGAATTGTGTGACCACAGGCAGCAGGAATTGTGCCCTGGGCTGGCACTGAGAGGGATCTCAAACCCTGGGCTCAGTTTGGATCCTGCAGGACAAGAGGGACACTGAGGGGCTGGAGCGTGTCCAGGGAA